ATTCAATTGCCATTGAAGTATTAAAAATTGTCAGATATCGTTTTGCATAATACCATTCATTCAATATTTCAAATGAATAAAGGTGGCGGTGAATAACAAAAGTTAGTGCAAATATAATTTCAAAAGGCATTTATATGTTTTTCCAGTCATTTTATAAATGACATATGTTAGCATTCTACCTCCTTTGTTGTCAAACGTGATCACATGAGGGACCAGAAATAGTATCGATGTTTCGTCTCTTGAAAATTCACAGTAATTCCTCAATCCTCCCAAATGATAAGCCTTCCAGTGTAACACACCCATCGTTATAAAACTCCTCTGCCAAGAGAAGTTGAACCTGTTTTGATTGCACTTCAGCGAGAGCAAAGAATAGACATGTTAAAAATCAAGACACTGATTTCCTGGAAGGTTGTAAGGGTGTTGGGGTTCAACACTCACAAATAACCACAAAGTAAAAAAAAAAAAATCCCTCACGTTTTTGCTGTTGTTGTGACTTACTGTTTGATAACTGCCTAAACTAAATAAATTGATGCATTTGGTAACTTCAATTCATTTTACGCATTTTTTTTTCTTTCCTCTCAATTTGAACCTCAGAATTGTTTCTTGATTGGAACAAGTTAAATAAAAATTCTTTGAAACACCCAAGTCTCTTGTCCTACACTAGGGGTCGTGAACTCCGGTTCTTCGACAGCCATATCCTGCCTGTGTTAGATCTCTCTGTACAGTGGTACCTCCAGTTACGTAAGTCTCTGAAAATGTGTAAAAAAGCTTATTTTAACAATTAAGTGTTATATTTTTACTAAAAGTGTTTTTTAACATTGAAAATGAACGCAATACTATAACACATTGAATTGGAATCAAATCAACATCAATCCAATGTTTGGTGCATTCATTTTCAGTAAAATATAGTCAATTAGAACTTGCTCAGGGTCGGATTTTTTTTCTGTGTGACAGACTGTTCTTTTTCTCCTGGTCGTTTGCGCTCTCCCGCAATATTGTACCAATCCCTTTTCCCATCTTGAGTCTTTGTATAATTCCAACATCATTCAAATGACTTCTGCTGAATGTGTCGCTTGAGGTAGTCCAGCTTCCATTTAGTCCGTATTTTTCTATTGGAAAATTTGCTTACAGCTTAAGTTTGATAACATATTTTGCAGAGCAGACCTTTCTCACTTGAAAAAGAATAATATCTCACCCAGTTTCACTGCTTGTTCTTCTATTTGGCACATACTCCGACAGCCATTCCAACTTCAAAAAACCGCAGTTCATTCTTATTTTGGTTTGAGGAGTCGACGTATCACATTCACTGCCCGGTCGTTTCTCCATGATAAAGGATTAGCATTAGCGTCACTTATGGAGCATAGAACACAAGCAAGTGCTGTCAATGCCGTGATTGACTGCATAGCGTCATTGCATCGTATCGTGTGATTGGCTGGACACCTCTCATTCACTGAATTACACAGCAAATTGATACAGAAAAAAAAGTTGCATAGCTAATTCATTTGCAGTGCGTTCACTGCGCTGGATAGGTTTTCTTGTGCGCTCAGAGTGTACGACCAGTGCACAGTTGCGCAGCTTAGAGGGAACATTGGTGCCGTTGCATCTCCGGTAAACGTAAATCTAAATGAAAGATACCTTTCATTGTATTGCCTTGCATCGGAAACTTCGCTTATTTCGGAGCATAAGGCAATTTCCTAGCTGCTGCTCCTCCCTACTGGTATGGAAGAGTACTACATGATTATTCTTCCATGCGATCGACCGCACAAGCATACATGTTGTATAATTTTCCACGACACACCTGACAATGTCTCGCGGCAGTGTGCTGCGGCACAAGGTTTGAAAAACACTGCTCTACAGAATGTGTCTATGTGTGGAGATAGCTATGTGTCTATGCAGCGTCCTCGTCATTCGACCCTCGGGCCATGAAGCGTTCTGATAGTTTTACGTAAATGTGAATCACCCAGATAAAGTGTTCACCAGTCCGGCGATCGCTCACTATGCTGATGTTTACCTTGGACATTTTTGAAGGATTGTTAAAAGCCGACAAAAGCAAATGTCGTTGGATCAGTTCTTTACAAAACGCCAAGCAAAAACCACTTCTGAGAAAAAAAATGATCTAAAGAGGGCAAAAAATGATGAGGACGCAGTTTAAAGTTAAATGACCATCATTTTTTTTTTTTACTCTATTCTTTGTTTTTTACATTATGCACAACTCTCATTTATTGTGCAATAATCTAATTGTAACATGTATTTATTACATATTTTGATGGGTTTTTTTATGCTTTAGAAAACATTTATGAATTTTGGGGGGACTTGGAAAGGATTAGGGCATTTACATGGAAAACGTGTCTCTGCTTGCAAAATTTTCTAGTGAAGAAATTTCTTCCAGAACCAATTAGTTCCGCAAGTAGAGGTACCACTGTACTTCAACACACCTGATTCAAAACATTATCTCATCAACAAGCTCTGTAGAAACCTGAAATGATCATGATCAAGGATTATGAATAGAGAGAAAAATCTAAAACAGGCAGGATATGGCTCTCTAGGAACTGGAGTTCCCTACCCCTGTCCTACATAGTCACAGCAATATCTCTTTGCTTTAGCTGGCGGGCAAACAGCCTTAAAAACATGTGCTTGCACTCAGAGAACAAGTGCACATTCTTGCAACCCTATAGGCTTGTTCTCAAATCACCGTCGAGCATGCGGTATGCTTTGCAATGCAGACCAGGAACTGCAGCTCAGGTATGAATGGTAGGAATCTGTCAGCCCTGTGATTGACTTCTGATAAATCCAGGGCAGTGGTTCTTAACCTGGGTTCGATCAAACCCTAGGGGTTCGGTGAATAAGTCTCAGGGGTTCAACAGAGCCTCTGCCATGGAGGTTAAGACCACCAGACTCAACATGTCAATTACTGGTAGTTATGACATGGTCGCTTGTCCATCACTGGCTGGTTCATTTTGTGCACAATTAAAAAACATATACTTTATACTTCTTCTAATTGTGTTTACTTTTTTCTGTTTTTAATAAATGCTCGTAAAAAATAATATTTTTATTTTTCACTCATAAAGGTTTCGGTGAATGTGCATATGAACTGGTTGGGTTCAGTACCTCTAATAAGGTTAAGAACCACTGATCCAGGGTCTAAATGCTCTCCTAGAGTAGTTCCCTGTACAACCCCAACATACATTATATAGTATACAGTTATATAGTAAGTGGTCCAAAAAGAATAGCTCCAGTCCAATAAATGCATGCCATTGTCATTGAATTACAATGTGCTTGCTATTGTACAGCATTTCAGGGGTCATTTTTCTCGATGCAGTTTTTCGTTCTATAAAATGCTTACACACCAAGTTCCTGCAAAGGCTCATGGAGTGCAGGAATAAGGTGGATAGAACATATAACAAAGGGAAACTCTTGATATTTACAGCTTGAACATGGTGAAATGTATTGGGGAAGTATTCAAATTCTCAGTACCGACTGAGAGAGTAACTTCATCGTTTTCAGCATACTGATGACTCACGTGCCCATAAGCAGCACAGGAGGAAGTACAGATATTTGTGTTTTCAAGATTTTTTTGAGAATCACAAATGATGTGGTGTACAAGTAATGCATGATATGCAATCAAGCTTCAAGAGAGAGGCTCTGATAGCCGTGGTTTAGGCTCAGGTAGCCATGGTTGAGGTCCAGGTAGCCGTGGCTGAGGCACAGGTAGCCATAGTTGAGGCCTTGGTAGCTGCGGTGGAAGGCCTGGTGGCCTGGTACCTTTTGCTTAAGCCCAGGTAGCTGTGGTTGATGCCCAGCTATTTGTAGTTGAAGCCTGGCTAGCGATGGTAGGAGCTTTGCTGGCCATGGATGAGACCCAGGTAGCAGTGGCGGTCCCTCGGGAATGAGCCAACGTTCCAATGAATATGGCCCAGGTAAGATTAAAACCAGCCCAGGTTAAAATGATTGAAGTCGAGGTAGCATTAGGGCTAGCCCCATTAGCAATGGATGTAGCCCAGGTGGTCGACTGGTGAGCATGTCCGCCTCACAGTGCAGCGGTGCAGGGTTCGGTTTTGGGCTCTCCCCATGCCTGCGTGTGTACTCTCCAGGAACTCTGGTTTCCTCCCACTTTACAAAAACGTGCATGGCAAGATTTTTGTTGTTTTTGTCTGAAGTAGGGCTTCCAAGGCAATTTATATGTATTTATTATTACTCACGGCACATTTTTTATTCACACTTTTCGCTTAAAACACCATTAGTGTTAATTGGAATCAATGATTTTATTACTGCTTTGTTTTTGTTTACGTTTAGCCATAATTTGTTTGTGTTTTGTCCAATATGGCTGCCCCTCTGAGGAGGAAGAACGTGAATCCAGAGTGCTTGAGAATGCTGACCCACAATAAGATGAACAATTTAAAGTGTCAACAATTTGAATCAATTACAAAATATAGAAATTACAAGAGAAAACATAAAATAGTCTTTTTTGTTTGTTTGGGTTTTTTTTTGAAAATGGGAAGTTTTGCCATGGGTAGGGAACAGTTTAAAGTTGGAACAGATTGAATTGGTCAAAAAAATTTCCAAATTATAGGAGGAAAAATCAAAACAAAAATTGTAATTTCAAAAATGTTTGTTTGTTATTTTAATGGGTAAAATGTTGACATTTTGGTGAATTATAATTTTTGGTGTTGGTAGGGATAAAATGAACCGTTTCATGTTGAAACTGATTGAATCAGTCAAAAACTGCAGAAAGTAGTGGAGAAAAACAAAACAAAAATACAGTAATTATTATTTTTGGGGTTTTTTTTGTGTGTGTGTGGGGGGGGGGTTAATGGTGAGAATGATTAATTTTGACTTTTGGTGAGTGGGAATTTTTGGCATATTGAAAATCTTTCACAAGGTGAATCGAATGAGCTGAATGTTTTGAATTTAAAAATGAAACATTGTAAAAATTAATGGTGATTTTTGGGGGTGAAAATGTGAAATTTGGAGAAAAACGTGAATTTCTGGTTGAGAAAAATGAAATCACACCTATCGTGAATTTCTGGAATAGTTTGAAGTTGGAACGATGAGAACGATTAAAAGGAAAATGTGAAAGTAGGAGCAGTCAATAAATGTGTGAGGTATGATAGAAGTAGATAACGAAAGCAAACGGCCTAGAGTGTCATATCACGGGCTCGGCAGTCACACAATTACACGTGACCGAATTCAGGAAATTGGCGGAATTAGAAACTGTTGTGGTCGGTTTATGAAACCCATGAGCAACGTATCGGTGGGCGTGGTTAGTGTCACATTACCAGGTAGGCGTAGTATTTGTCAACAAACCAAAAGTGGAGGACGTTTAGACTCACGCGGTTTTGTGTAGGCATTTGACGGAAGGTTTCATTTTGTCTCACAGTTCATTTTTCATCGTATAAAGAAGTTTGTTTTTAAAAGTGGGCCAAGATGAGAGGACGTTCTAAAAGACTGGAGGACAAAGAGCGAGTGCACGGAAGAGCCAACAGCGGCGCGCATCCACTTTCTGAGCCCTGCAAAGCTGAAGCACACGCAGCAACCTCCGATGCAGCTGCCTCCGGCGTTTGCGCCCAGGAGGCGGCCGACTGGGAAACAGGTACCATGACTTGATGCGTTGAATGAACCCCTGGGTGTCGTCAAATACAGTATTTCACGATTGTTCATGTCGAAAGGAACTATTTAGCCTACTTAATATTGCTAGGTTCCACAGCTCTAGACAGACGTGATTAAGACTTCACTAAAGTGTTTCACATGCGAACAAATGAGCAGTTATTTAGCATATACTTAATTCCTTCCTTTCACGTGTGTGTGTGTGTGTGTGTGTGTGTGTGTGTGTTTTCATGTACAGTATTATGATGCAATTTTGCTTAAATCATCGTAGCTCCAAAGCACTGCAGTCAAGATACAAAGAAGGTCTACCTTGGAGTACGTGTTAAGATGCCTGTCAAAGATCTGCTTCGTAACATCCGTATAGCCCAGGGCAGGGACCCCCAAGATCCTCAGGTAACCTTCACCACTAAATCTTCTTTCTGGCTTTTGATATGAGGGCATGAAATAATGATAAGTGCTTTGACACCCATTCATTATATCCGAGGAGCGCGTAAGAGGCGCAACAATGCCTAAAGAATATCTCTTACTTTTTTTTTGCTATTTACAAGCCGAGCCTGCACAGCAAACGAGTACAAGGTAAGGACCAATTTTGTGGCATTTTTCTCATTAAGTTCTTTTATGTCAGCTTGAGAGATCATAATCAATGTGTCTTTTTCAGGGGATAAGAAGCGATTTAAAACTCGCACAAGAAATCGAACAAGCAAGGTCAGTGAATGTGATAGTGCCTCACATGTCTGCCGGTTGCCATAAGATAATGTTAAGAATTTGGAAACATTCAACAGAGCGCAAATACCTTGGCTGTCTTTCACTCACAGAGAAAACGCCCCACCAGTAGCCTGGAGGAGCTAGCAATCATCGTTGAGGTGCTAGAGGAGGATCTGAGGACAGGCACCACAAACAGTTCCACAATCCAAATGTCCTCCCCGAGCTCACCAGTATCTCCTGAGTTCACTTTTGAGTCAAATGGTAATTCATTTGTGTCATACAGAAAAAAATAGATGTAATCATAAGAATCATCATCATCATCAATTGCATAACCTTAATTTCTATTTTTACTTCATTGCAAGGTACAGGTTACATGAGTGACGAGTCCGATGAAATCATCCCCAGCCCCCCTTCCCATACAATCTACTCACCCGGGATCGTTGAGTACCACCAAAGCCCACGCCCTCCTGGCTTCGTGACCACAAGTTTTCAGCCCATGTGGACAGGAGACAGTTGGTACGCTAACTGCACAATGAGAGGCTCTGAGTTCTTTTGGGCACAGTTGCAGAAGGAGGAGATCCAGCTGAGGTACATCTCTGATGAAGCACTGTTGGCCACTGACCAACACGGCCAAACGTGAGTTTAATGTTCATAATTGTCATACAATTGGGAAAAGAAGTTCAAGAATGAACTAGAGTTGCAAGTAGCTAAAAAGGACCCTTGCAGCCATGGCAACATTGGAGAATTTGCACGTTGGGATACTGACACTTAGAATTAGATTTTTTTTTTTGATTTTTTTTTTTTTTTTGAGGAAGTACATCACGTTAAAATATATTTTTAAAAATATTACCTCAATAAAAGGTAAAAAAATGAGTCAAAATATGAAAGGAAATGAAAAATGGACTTCCTATGGTTTTTATGGTAGGGCTTCCCAAAACTTTATGTAGGTCTTGAGCTGTTACATATGCCTCCGATTTTTCATACCTCTTGGTGAAACGTTCAACCAGGGTTGTCTGATTAAAAATTTCGAAAAGGCGCACCTAAGCCATTTTTTTAAACTGCACAGTAAACTAATGAAGTAGTGATTATTTTGAAAAATGTGATGTGTGTGCCAAGTTACATGTTTTCCCAAATGTTATGAACGCCAAAATTAACATTTTACCTTGCAGTTAGGGCACTGCCACGGTAACTGTTTTGGGCAACATGAAGAGCTTTTCCTTTATTTTATATCTTGAAAATTTTCAAATGAAGCACCGATAGTTTCAAGCCAAACTGATGAAATCTGAAAGAGGCGTTATCTAAAATGTGCACTCGATAAAAGCCCCCAAAAGGGGCAAAATTTGAAATGAAATGGTGAAACTTCCTGTGAGGTTTAGGATTTGGATCCAAGGGACTTTTTTTGTAGGTCTTCAGCGGTTACATAATGGAATTTTTCTTGGTGAACAGCACATTGCCATGGCAACATCACTCAGTGAAACAAAAATCTCTGTTATTCCATCTCATCTTGAACATCTTATGATAAACACCCGCAGTTTCAAGACAGTCGAATAGAATCTCCAGGGAGGAGTTCTTTAAAATGCCAAGGAATGGGGCCAAACTCGAAAATTCAAAGTGGAAGACTTCCTGTTAGGTTTGGCAAAAGTCTTCAAGAGACTTTTAAGTAGGTCTTGTGTGAATGTGTGTGTTATAAAATATTGATTTTGCCAGGCCTGGTATGTGTGCAAAGTTCCAATTAGTTTTGTGCATGTTTAGACCCTTAAAATCAGTGTTGTTTTCTTGGAGAACAGCACGTTGCCACGGAAACAGTGTTTCATGTAAAATCACAAACATCATGAAACCAAAATACAAATATGAGCTATATAGGGTCAGACAAAATGATCTGACACATTTGTAGGTTAAATAAAAGGCAAATAAAGAAATAAAAAAATGTTTTTATTTGCGAAAAGTACTTATCATGCCATTCTGTTTCATTATGTTTTAAAAATTAAGTGGAGTTCTGGTGGTGCGAGGTCGGCCGGTTGATTTTCGTTTCAATGCAGATCCAGTAGCTCTGAAGTTCGTAACCCCTAACAAGATCGGGTTTCGAGCTGGTACGGGATCATGTCTACCAAGATTGAAGTGCAAACGGAACGCTCGTTGTTACAGATTCGTTTGTTTTGATAAACGTTTCCACAATGAAAGCGCAATGCTCACCAGTCCAATTCATGGCAGCAACTGAAAAACAAAAATGAAAAACAATGGCATGATAAAGAAACAAAGCAAAATGGCATTATATGAAAAAAATGGCATTATATGCACTTTTCGAAAATAAAAACACTTTCGTGTTTCTTTACTTTATTTGCCTTTTTAACCTACAAATGTGTCAGATCATTTTGCCTGACCGTGTATAATCAGGGCTGCTTTAACTTTGTAGGGGGCGCAACTGAGTTTTTTTTTTTTTTTTTAATCGCAGAATAAACTAGTGAAATATTTGATGACTTTTCCAAGCCTGGTGGGTGTCATGAGTTTTTGTGTATGTTTAGACCACAGGTGTCAAACTCAAGGCTCGGGGGCCAGATCTGGCCCACCACATCATTTTATGTGGCCCGCGAAGGCAAATCAAAAATGTCAACTTCCAAGATGCTTCCTAAAATGTATACCAATTTTAAAAATTATCATATGTAATAAATAAGAAACATACTGTAAGCATTTTCTTGTGACCAAACCCCTCATAACAGTAACTTAAACAATAGTTGAATAAACTGTTTTTGACTTTTTTTTATATGGTTTCAGTCATAGTGGCCCTCCAAGGGAAACAGTAACTGAAATGTGGCCCCAGACAAAATGAGTTTGACACCCCTGGTTTAGACCCTCAAAATTAACATTGTTTTCTTGGCGAACTGTGCATTGCCATGACAAGAGCGTCTCATGAAAGTTCACAGTTTTACATTATGAAGTCCTAAACAATCTTCCGAACAAATATGAAGTAGATCTGGTAAACCCACTAGGGGGAAAAACATCAAAAAAATAAAGCATGCACTTCCTTCAGCAAATAGGTGGTGCTCCCACTACAAGGACAAATAAGTTCAGATATGTCCTCAGACCTGTATTTTCATCAAATGTGTGACATTTTGAGAAGATTGGATAATCTGGATCAAGTTACATTATCTTTTATCGTCACCGTGAATCACCAGACGTTGAGGCACCGTAATTGCCACGCCCTTCACTGAAAAGTCGCAATATTCGGACGAGAGCATGATCATCATTTTCAGGCTTTTCTGACTAATTTTCACTTGGATTTGTTCAACGGGCTCGGTGCAGGACATTAAAATGCAAAATAAGACATTTCTTGTGGTGCAATAAGTATAACAAAATATTGCCATTCAGATGTTAAGCCTGTGTCTGTTAATATATGTGAATTTTGGGACTTTTTGAAGCATGTGCAGAGGAGCGATTAAACATTTCCTTTTTGGCAGTGACATTGATGCACTGTACTCATGAGGTATTTGAAAAACCAGTGGCGGACCCTCAGGGCCAGCAAGGCCTTCTCTGCTGGCCTAAACATTCTCAGAAAAGTAAATTTACTTTTCTGAGAATAACATTAATTTGTTCGTTTATTTTCATAAATATGTAAACAAAATTATTCTCTGTATTCTTTACGTCATATCATTTCCACTTAATCGAGTGGCTTTCAATGTTATTTTAAATAACATTGAAAGCCACTCGATAAATAACTTATTTATTATGGTAGAGTTTTTAACCAATCATATTTCAGCTAGCTTGTCTTGCCAGGTAAATTAAACTTGCTCGGGGCCTTCAGATTAAACAGAGCAGGCCCCTGTGCGCTGTAAGTGAAGGGGCACAGTCAGGTTTCAATAGCCAATCAGATCACGAGTGATCTGACTCGTCTGCTACTAGGGCTAGCTAGAAGGCCGTACGTCGAGACTGGCCGTGCGCGTTCGGTGATTGGATTAGCGCCTTTTCTGTTTCCTGAGAATTGTATGCTGACTTGTTCAATAAAGATTTAAAAAAAAAAAAAAGATTGGATTAGCGCCTGCTAGAGCTATCATTCGCATTTTAACCCAAAATGGCCGTAGGAGAAAACGTTGATCTGGTTGCAGAACTACTTTCCACACAATTTTAAAGATGGGCCTTCCACAAAAAGCTGGATATTGTGCAAAGAGGTCGCCCAACTCCTGCGCTAGCTAGCCTGTCCCAGCAAGGAAAAGGGTTTGTCCGTCATTTTCAGACGAGCAATTATGACTATGATTATAAACGCTGCAAATTGTACTGCTGGGAATGCCTTTT